TTTAAATTAATTTAAAGTTTTTTATATGCAGTCTCTTTTTAAAACAGTAAAAGTTCCTCACCATCTGGAAACACTTACTCTTTCCGTATCCTTCCATTTTGGAGCCGCTCCGACTTCGTCAGCCTTGGCTGGATTTTTTGTCGCCGGCTTGAAGAACTTCTCTTGCATCTATCAGGGACTTTGCAATGTCCCTGAGGTCAGCAAGACGTATTCTTCTTGTTCACCGTCTCTGCGGGACGGTTTAGGTCCAATTGGACCACCCAGCGACAAAAGTATTGGCTGCGGTCTCGGAGCATCGAGACCGCACGTCCATATCGGCGCGACGTTGGCTCCTCCCCAAACCAGTGGATTTTGCCCGTGTATTATTATTATTTTTTAAAAAAATATTAAAAGTTGAGGCTGAAGAAGTCGTTGACAGGTAAGACGTTGTAGCAGACAATTTTGTGTACTGTGCTTAGATTGGACCACAGGCGGCGCAGTTCCAGATTGTCCAAGCCCAAAATTTAGGGCCTGGTGGCATAAGGGATTCTATTGTGAGCAGAGGAGCGGAGGACTCTTCTTGTGAAATACCTCTGGATCCACTCAGTTGTGTTAATGTCCGATGTACAGTGTGGATTCCAGGCAGACAAGCTGTATTTGAGAATTTGCCATTAGTGGAGCAGGAGGAATAGAAGAGGGGAGGGCTTGGAGTGGCGGCTGGGTGAGAAGCTCTGGCAGGGCAACATAGGTCCCATCCCCTACTTCATCAGGGTTCTAACCCAGCTCCCCAAACACAACAAACTCAATGATTCCTTTATTAGGAGCTCCAGCAGACCAGGCAAAAGGAGATGGGAAGGCCGGCAAAACTTTGCCTGAAACACTCAGAGGCCTCTGGGGCAGGGGTGGGTTCTGGCCGTCTCCACCGCTTATTTGCTCATGGATGCGCCACGTGTGTGCATATTTGATGCGCTCATGCGCAAAACAATAAAAAATGCTCTGCGTATGCTCAGAAGCAAAAAACAAGATGGCGCCACCTATGGCACTGCCCGGAGAACAGGTTTGGGAGTGTAGCAGGCCTGGATCGCTGCTGGTTCCAGCAACCCAGGCCGCCAAAACACAACCGGTGCCACTGCTGTGCGGGAAATGAAGACAAGGAGAATTGGCTTTGATTTGTCCCTGGGGCCCCCAGAGAATGCAGCTCGGTCTAAACAGGCTGAATCGGTCAAGGTGGAAGTCAGCTGACTGCTAGGAACCCCTGACTTGTGGTTTGAATTTATTGTCGAAGTAGGATTTACTTCAACTGCTTTCATACCTTTTCTAATCTTGTAATATTTTCTAATAAGATGTCATTTTGTCTGCATTTCTATATGCTGGTAGCCATCTGGAGTTCCTACGATAAAATAGGCAGCCCCATAAAAATTAAATAAACAAATAACACTGTAAATGCAGGCGCTCTGGGCTGGGCATCTGGGCGCATTCAGAACCCGACCATGAGGGTGGGGGGAGGGGCACAATGGGACTCATACCTTTCGGACGGCCTTTTCCCTACAAGCTTTTCCCTGAGGGGTCAGCTTGATTAGTTGTAACCCTGGTTGGCTTTAGGGAGCTGGGTACATAGTGCAGAACCCAGGCCCATGTTGCTGTGCTTGGCATCAGGCCGCCCTGTCCTGTCCCCTGAAACTCCAAGGGCCTGATCATTGTATTGGCTGACCTGCACAAGTTGCTTCTCTTGGAAATAGATCCACCTCCCTCCCTCCCTCTGAAATCTTGGTGTTTCTGGTTAATATTGGGCTGAGTGGTGGATTAAACCTAAAGGAAAGACTTTCAGGCTGATTGCCAAGAGCCAGGGGAACAGGCTGCCACATGAAGTGGTGTGTTCTCCTTCAAGGAGAGGCTGAATGGTCATCTATTGGAGGTGTTAAGCGGGAGAGTTGGACTAAATGACCTCAAGGACTACTTTCAGCACTGGGAGTCTGTAGTCCTGATGTTGGCTTCTCTCTTTCTTTCAGCTGAGCCTGCAGATCTATTGAAGGTATTAGATTTCCATAATTTACCCGATGGCATCTCAAAAACGACGGGCTTCTGCACCAGCAGGCGGTCTTCCAAGGGAGCAGATGTGGCCTATCGCGTCACCAAGGATGCCCAGCTGAGTGCCCCAACCAAGCAGCTTTTCCCTGGTAAGAGAGGATATTTGTGGCTCAGGGTGCAACTGTGGGGGTCCTTGGTACTCTCTAGGCTGGGTTGTTGGCTTGCAGATATTCATTACCCAACTAGGCAACCTCTTCGATGCTAAAGACCCAACTCCCAGACAGGATAGTACCTTTTCCCTTTCTAGGAAAGCAACAGTCCTTAGACTTATATACTGCTTTAAAGTGCTTTTACAGCCATCTCTAAGTGGTTTACAGAGTCAGCCTCTTGCCCTCAACAATCTGGGTCCTCATTTGACTCACCTCGGAAGGACGGGAGGCTGAGTCAGCCTTGAGCCTGTTGACATTCGAACTGCCAAATTGCAGTGAGCCGGCAGTCAGCAGAAGGAGCCTGCAGTACTGCACTCTAACCACTGTGCCATCATGGCTCTTTAGGATGCTCGTGTCCTGCAGACAGACAGCCTGGGGCCCTGGACAGAACCTGGCGCTTCCATTATTTCCTTTCCTGCTTTGCCCAGGTGGACTTGGGTCCTGCTTGGCCCCCAGAGGCCCCCCCCCCCAGCTGGGCTTGTGGTGGATGAGGGAGATGCTGGCTTTCTGAGCAAAGTTGGGACACTGCCACGCTTCTCTTCAGCCGGGGCAGCACCTCGCTTGGGGTGGATCTGGAAGTCCTCTTTGACAGAAGCCTGAGGAATGTGGAGGGAAGCAGCGAGTTGCTTTGATCCGGTGGCCAAGATGCCAGTCATTTTCTCCACATAATCTGAGGCTTTTGGCCCTGGGCAAGAAAAGGGGGCTGGAAGTTACGGATAGGCACAGAAGGGGTTTTGCGTGCAAAACTGTTGCCCCCTCCCCCCCTTGCCGGGAAGAGGCATCCTGGGTTTTGCTGGGCTTCCCCTCTTTTCGTTGAATAAGATGCCTCCTGCAAGGACCTAGATGTTAGTTCAGCTCCAAACAAGCAAATGAGTGGATGGAGATCAAGACCATAGAGGTCATTGCAGAGCCTTTCCACAAGGAAACGCAGGCTGGGGAACCACACAATCAAAGGCTCTGGAGGGAAAGTGACACGTAGCTGCACAAATGACACTCCGGCAGGCTGCAGTTGGGGCTAATTAGAAGGTTCGCTTCCCTCAGCTGGTAGTTTGAGGATCCTGTGTGTTGCTGCTCTGGCCTGTTGTTTGACCTGGAATGCTACGACCCACACCCTTTGTATGGGAGGGGGAGATTCCTCAGCGATCCTAAAGGATCCCAAGTCCATGTGGAGCGAGGCTGTGTGTGTGCGTGTATCTGGGTGGACATGGAAGTATTCCCCATCAATCATACCAGTGCTAGCAACAGCCCTTAGATTTATATATCGCTCCACAGGGCTTTACCGCAGGGCTCCCCAACTCCTGGTCTGTGGCCTATTTGGAAGTGGACGAAGTGCCTACACATGTGCAGTTCGACTTGTATGAGAGGCGGGCTGGTGTGTGTGCACATGAATGCAGATCAACATGCTCAAATTGAGCTGCACAGGCCTGGGCACGCACACCAGTCTGCTGCTCGTGCGCCTTGGTTCCCCTCTAGCCCCCCTCTCCAGCTCGGCTGCCAAGCTGCAAAGGTGGGGATCCCTGCATCACATCCCTCTCTAAGTGGTTTACAGAGCCAGCCTCTGGCCCCCAACAATCTGGGCCCTCATTTCACTCACCTCAGAAGGTGGGAAGGCTGAGTCAACCTTGAGCCAGTCAGGATTGAACTGCTGGCAGTGGGCAGAGTTAGCCTGCACTGGCACCCCACAGCTCCTAATGCAACATCTGATTAGCTACAGCAATAGCAATAGACTTATATACCGCTTTACATACGCTTCCCTTTCCAACGTCTGGAAGAGACTGGAGAGTCACTTGTCTGAAATGGTATAGATTCTCCTGCTTGAGCAGGGGGCTAGACTAGAAGACCTCCAAGGTCCCTTCTGGTTCTATTCTGATTCTGCATCTAAAGTCTCAAAGCAGGCCTTCCTCATTCAGTTGACTTTTTCAACTCATTGCCCTGCCATTGTGGCTGCAGGGCAAAGGTTGGTGATTCCCTTTGGGAGAGAAACGGACCCCATTCTCTGCTCTGCTCCCTTCTCTGCTTCCAGCGTCTCCATTTCCTGAAGATTTCTCCATCCTGACCACGGTGAAAGCCAAGAAGGGCGGCCAGGCTTTCTTGATCTCCATTTACAACGAACAAGGCATCCAGCAAGTCGGTGTGGAGCTGGGGCGGTCCCCGGTTTTCCTATACGAGGACCACATGGAGAAGCCAGGCTCCGAGAACTACCCTCTCTTCCGCGGCATCAACCTCTCGGATGGCAAGTGAGTGACGCAGAGGAAACGGGGGGGTTGTGGGTCAGGCGAGGGAATTCCAGGTCTCCTTTCTTTGGGTGTTTAATGGACTTCTTCGGGAGATGATGAGGTCAGCTCAAGAACCCAGACAAAATGGCCCGATCGGAGGAAAAAGAGGGAAAAAGAAAAGAGCAGGTCATAAAACATCGAGTTGCAGACAAGCATTCACAGAGCTAACACCTGAATCCAGGTTAACGCCACGTGCGAGGCCCCAGATAAACAATAGCATAGCAATAGCATTTAGACTTACATACTGCTTTACAGCCCTCTCTAAGCGGTTTTACAGAGTCAGCCTATCATTGGAGCTTAACCCGAAATCTTCAAAAGTGTTCTAATAATTTTAACATAAGAAGTTGGGTACCAATAGAAGAGACTATTTGTAGCTCAGGGCTGAAGTGTACAGTCCTTGATACTCTCTGAGCCTGGTTGTTTTCTTGCAGACGTTTCATGATCCAACTAGGTAACATCATCAGTGCACCATCAACATCATCAAGTCCAGCTTTTTTACAAATATGAAATAGATATCACACCAATAGCAGTAGCTCTTAGACTGAAATGCCTCTTCATGGTGCTTTCCAGCCCTCTCTAAGCAGTTTACAGAGTCAGCCTCTTGCCCTCAACAATCTGGGTCCTCATTTGACCCACCTTGGAAGGACAGGAGGCTGAGTCAACCTTGAGCCTGGTCAGATTCGATGTGCCAAATTGCAGGCAGTCGGCAGAAGGAGCCTGAAGTTCTGCACTCTAACTACTATGCCACCGCAGTGCAGTGCAAACAATATTGTGGCTTATATGGCCGCCTACTCTGCCCAGTGTGATAAGATAGTGGTTGAGTTCCCATCCGATGTTGAATCCAAAGTCAAACTGGAGTCCGCAAATCCAAAGTAACCCCCCCCCCCCATGGCTCTGGCTCCTTGTGTATATGCGTGAACCCCTCCCATCCACTTGCCACTTCTCTGTATCCAGCTGCAACCATTAGGGGAAGCTTCCTTGTGGAAGGTGGCTTGGAGGGGCAGGCAGAGGCTGGGCCACCCTCTCTCTGGAGCGATTCAGTTTGGGTTCTCCAGTGGCTTCTTGTAGCCTTAGAACAGGGGTGTCAAACACAAGGCCTGTGAGCCTGATCCAGCCCACGATGGGGTTGGATCCGGTCTGCAGGGTCATCCTAGAAAATGTCAGGGGCCAGCCCGTATTGCTTTGGCCCAGTCTACCCAATGCAAAGAGCAAACATGCAAGCAGTTTGGGGAATGGTGTCAAGCTGGCCATGCCCACCCAGTCGGCCACGCCTGCCCAGCCCCTTGAAGTCAACCCCAGCCCTGATGCTGCCCTCAGTGAAATTGAGTTTGACACCCCTGTGCTAGAAGACACTGATCTGCCATTCAGGAGATCTGCGTGGAAAAGTCTCCCTTTCCCTCTCTCCAAGCCACGGCAGAGGTGAGCCAAAAGGAAATTGAATTCTGGGTCTCTCCAGGGCACGTTTTCTTTGAAGTCTGAAGGTTTTGTTTCTGCCAGATGTGGCTGGAAGTGCTTCTGGGGTTGTCATCGCTCCTTTGGCTGCTTTGCCTACGCAGGGGAAGATGGCTGCCTGAGCTTGCCGCTCAGGCTAGAAGAGAGATAATTTCGCTTAGTTTAAGCCTCTGCCGACTGCCATTTCTGTGGATAAGCAGAACCTGGATGAAGAAAATCTAAGACTCTCTCAGAGGTCTGTTTGTTATCTGGAGAGACGCTTCCCAGTTGGCTTTGGGCAATCTTCTGTGGTGTCGGATGGCTTTTTAGGCGGCGCCCCCCCTCCTCGCGAACGGCAGTCTTTCAACGCGGAGCGGCGTTCTGTCTCGAGGGTTGGCGTTTTGCCTGGAGGGGCATTGTTCTGATGGCTTAGACTGTTTCTGGCGGTGGCGTGCGGCCTTTGAGCGACGCCCCCCCTTTTTTCCCGCGGACGGGAATTTTCCAATTGGCGGCATTCTCTGATTGAACTCTGATTGCTACGGCCTGCTTTCTCCTGGCGAGACGCCGTTGAGCCCTGCTGCCGTCTTGGGGGGTTACTGAGTCAAGCGCTAACCCAAGCGCACCCCCCCTTCCATCACGGCCTTTCTGACTCGGACTCTGACCACCATTGCTGCGGACTGACTGTTGGGGTTCTGGCCTCTGTAGCTAGCCCTCGCGACTCCCGCTGTTATTGCTGCTGCCATCCATGATTATTTCCAGACATGCCTTTCCAGACGGCGCTGCCCCCTGACTGTCTTCCATCTTGACCGTTCCCACTCTCGCCTTTGCCCCTAAGACCATCATTTTGGAAAGAACTGGACGCGTGAGATCAACTGCTTGTCACCTTTCCATCGCCATAAATTGGGTTCTGGCACGACCCCTCCCCCCTCGCCCCCTTCCCTCTGCTTTCTCATCTGATCCTAATTTAACAACGCGGACACGGGGGCTCCCCCCCCACCATTTTGGCTGCTGAGGCTCGGCCATGGAGTCCTTAGACCTCCGTCTTTGCCAAGAGTTCTGCATGCCACCCTGTGTTTACAATCTTCACAGAAAGGGAAAGCGGAGGACGAAGAAGACGTGGGTAGGGAGCTTGTCCCCCTCCCCTCTGACCGGCGTCAACCCCCTATCCACTTTAAACTTTAGAGCTTTGTATTTCCTACTGGATCCTGCAGAGGAGAACCTTCTGAGCGCAAAGACATTCCTCTCTTATATTACTACTAACTTTATTTATTTAAAAACTGCGCTCAACCGCTTGGCGGTCCCAGAGCGGCGCCCATCTTTTTGCTAAGTAAAGGAGTGATTGTAGGTATGGATGGTTGAGAGAATGTTCCCACATGTTTTTAAACTTAAATTTTTAAATTTTCTATTCTGTATCACTGTATTTTTTTTATTATTATTATTATTATTTATTACACAGACAACAATGGGAAAGGGAGAGGATGGGGAAAAAAAAAAGAAAAGGAAAAAGGGGGGGAGGGAAAACCCATCTTCACATATAATATGTCGTTTAATCACAGG